GTATGCAGAGCACTGCGTCATTACCTTAAGAGGACCGCTCCTTTTCGTAAATCGGAGCCACTCTTTGTCTCTTTCCACACAGGTTCCAAGGGGCAGAAGGTTTCCTCCTCTACTATTGCCAGGTGGATCAAGGCCTGTATCGCTCAATCTTACCAGGCTTACTCTTTACCAGTTCCAAGTCACCTGACAGCACACACTATTTGTAGAGCTTCCACATCTGTGGCGTGGCAAACTCAGGCTTCCATAGCTGACATCTGTAGGGCGGCGACGTGGTCGTCCCCTTCACCATTCATTCGCCATTACAAGCTCGACAAGTTTGCTTCTGCAGAGGCCGCTTTTGGCCGTCAGGTTTTACAGCAAGTGGTCCATTTCAGCGCCGACACTTAACCAGCCTGCTTCCCACCCATGGGATCATATGGGCTTGGTATGTCCCATTCGTGGATTCTACATTCCTTACATGCTGGAGAAGGGGCGTTGTCTTACCTGAACGCCTTTTCTCAGCATGAGGAATGTAGAATCCACTCCCTCCCTGTTCATTTAGCAGTCAGGTCAGTGTCAGCAGTTCGGGAGCCATCACGTCACACAATCATTGGCTTCGCCCTTTTTCGAAACTGGGGCATGGTCAGATCCTGCAGGGGCGTGGCAACTTTGATTGTTTGGTCTGATTGGGCTAGAGGACTTCTTAAACCCATTCGTGGATTCTGCATTCCTCATGCTGAGAAAAGGCGTTCAGGTAAGACACTGCCCCTTCTCCAACAAGCTGACACACATTCTTATTGGGCTAGCTCGGGTAGGCAACCTTGGCTCTTTTATGATTCATGGACTTCAACTCCCAAAATTCTTGAGTCAGCATAGCTGGGCTAGCTAGCTCTCTCCTGCCCTTCCTGCTTCCTGCAGAGACGCAGCAAAGGGAGGACCCCCGCCCAATAAGCTTGTCAGCTCGTTGGAACAGGGTGAGGCTATTTTCTTTTTTACACACACACACACACACACACACACACACACACACACACACACTCTGTCTCTCTCTGCAAATGGCAGAGGAGGCTGGGAGCCACAGGCGAAGGCTCAAAGAGCCGCATGCAGTTCCGGGTCACAGGTTGCCGACCTTTGGTCTAGGTCGTACAGGAAATGCTAATTCTTTATTTCACTCATTTCTTAGCAGCTTATCAATTGATTTATTAATAACAAATATCTTTAGGAACTAATAGTAGGGTTTTTTTTAATTTTAAAGAATCTATTTATTTATTAAACAAATTTATATGGTCGCTCAATTCACAATGATGCTGGGCAGCTTACAACATTAAAAATGAATAGTATGTGACTTCCGGTTCTGGGCTGCGGGGTATGCAGTCGCGCAGACAGATTCTTCGCTGGCTACTTTCCCTCTGCTGGTAGACCCTTAATCGGGTCAAAAAGTCGCACTGGAGGGGTGACTACCGATGAGGATTCTCGTCAACCACGGGGGGAGGCGGCAGCTCCTTCCGCGGTCCAAGGCAGCTCCTCAGGGCCGACGGAGAAAAGATCGGCCAATAACATGACCAATCATTTAGCTGCACCAGCTGAAAGTCAAAAGAACATCTAAGTGTCAAGAAACCACCGTGGATGATCTGAGTGAGACCTTTCTCCCTCTCTCTTTGCCCTAACTACTCTCCTGTTAAAAGCCTTCTGGATCTATTTCCCTGCTTTGAAAGAGCTGCCTCTGTCTATCTGGGAAAAAGAGCTTTAACAAAAGGAAAAAAAAGTTAACTTTTTATTGACTATTTTTATTTTTGGTCACTTTGGGGCCCTGGAAAAAGCCCTATCATAGAACTTTATTATTATATCTATTTTCTAAGTTGGAGAATATTGTTTTCCTATTTCTTGGATTTATTTTTTTAAAGGGATAAATCTTTATTGTTTGAAAAAAAAAACTTTATTGGAATCCGGAAAAGAGATTTCACAGCCTACTGAGGGCATCTTGTGGCGAAAACTATTACTGCAACTACATTTCCTCTTTGTTTTTTGAGGTTGGTTTGACCTTCAAATGATGATAAAAGTGAAAAGATAAAGGATTTAAAACAGCTGGGTGGTGAAGTTGCTTACTAGTAATTGTGGAGGTGGATAAGTGCTGACTGTTTGTATGTGTTGATTGTTAGTAAATATAGTCTCCTGTAAAAAAGTAAAAGACTATCTCACCACTGAAATGAAGGAATTTCATCCACAGCTTTATTATGAACTTATATTAGAAGCAATTTTGGAAGCAACAGTATATATGAAATCCTGGAGAAACATTAAAGATGACATCTCTGAATCACAGATTGAATCTCAAATTGTATGATTTTGTTTTTGGATGATTGATTATTCCATCACCACGTTGTTTCTTAAGCACCTTGTTGTAAAAATAAAAAAATCAATAAAACTTGTTTTTTTAAAAAATGAATATAAAACCCCTACCCTACCCACCATTTAATATAGTTTATTTTATTTTATCTTACTTTTCTCCAAGGCTGGTCCCAATCGGTTAATAGAGAGTGAGAAGTCCAGCTCCCAACTTTTCATTTGCACTGTTCTGCAGGATTTGGTACTCTTTCCTCCTATTTAACATACACGAGGCTGTTGAGTGACATCATACATCATCATGGGTTAAGATATCAATATGCTGATGATATTCAGCTTTACATCTGTATACCTGGTGACCCAAGTGATGTTGTCTCTGCTCTCTCATGACGCCTGGAGGCTGTGATGGCAAACCTTTTAGAGATCTAGTGCCCAAACTGCAACCCAAAACCCACTTATGTATTGTTGGGTGCCGGGTGGGTGTGGCCCTTTGGGTGGACGTGGCTACAGTGGTAACGGCAGACTGGGTGGGATTAAAAAGTTCGATCGATCAATTCCAACTTTGCGAGATCTTTTTTTTTTTCCGTGAGAAGTTGAAATTGATTAATTGAACCTTTTTTTTTTCTGCACACGGCAGCGGAGGCCTAAAGTGAAAAGGTTTATAAAACCCAGCTGAAGGCCTAGGACTGGGGCGATGGCATGTGCGCTCACAGAGAGGGCTCTGTGTGCCACCTGTGGCACGTGTGCCATAGGTTCGCCACCACGGCTGTAGGGACAACAGATATTGATTGAATCCTGGGAAGACTGAGTAGCTTTGAATGCATGGAGACTCAGGATCCAGGTTTTTATCATCCTTAGTTCTAGACAGGATCGTGCTACCCTGTTCAGACCCTGTTTGCAACTTAGGAATTCTCCTGGACTCATGTCTCTGGATCAAAGAGCAGGAAGTGGATGTGATTAGAAGAGTCTTTGCACAGCTCTGATTTTTGCACCAGTTGTAGTTTTTCCTAGATCATGACTTTCTGTGCTCAGTCACTGAAGCCCTAGTCATCTCTTGCCTGGACTACTGCAATGTGCTCTACATGGGGCTACCTTGAAATCTATTTGGAAGCAGCTGGTTCAGACTGCAGCAGCAAATGCAGTCTTTACGGCTAGAGTGATCCATATCTTTTGTTATGATATTGATGTACTGTATTCTTGTTGTTTTTTATGTTTATTTTATTGTACTATTATTTTACTTCTGTTTTACATTTTTTTATTTTTTCCTTTTTAAGCCACCTAGAATAGCCGCATGGGGAGATAGATTGTCAATAAATTTAACAAATAAATAAATAAGTACAACCAATGCTGTTTCTGACTGGAAGGATAATCCATTTCATACAGGACGCTCTGAAGTTGCCAAGTAATCACCTTCTCCATCGCCTTCCCTAAGAAAGGAAGGTTAGAAACTGTTTTCTGTTTTCCTTTTAATCCAGTCCTTGCCCAAGCAATCTTTCAGAAAGAAGGGGGGGGCAGCCTATTTTCCAGAGAACTTGAGAGTAAGACAAGTAATGGATGTTAACTTATGAAAGCGATCCAACCTAGAACCTAGAGAAAGTTCCTGACAGAATAATTGATCAGTGGAACAGCCTGCTTTCAGAAGTCCCATCAGTGAATATTTTTAATAAATTGAACAGCTATTTGTCCAGAATTATAGAGGATCCCTTGCTTGGGCAAAGGGTAAAGACAAAGATCTTCACGTTTCCTTCCAATTCTGTTATTCTATATTCTGAGATGTCAGAACTTTTGGTTTTATGGCTGTTATTGTTGTTAACTGATCAGAATTGTATTCAAGATGGGTTACCATACAAATTGTTTGCATAAATAATTATTCATACAAATTGTTTAAATAAAATCAATATGTAAGTGCCTGATCAGATATGTAGATTTTGACAGATAGAGGTGCATAAATAATCGTTTCTACTAGAAAAATAGAAAACATTATCAACTTGGATACCTTGAGGGTTCTGAATTTGAAATAAAACATTCCACAGATAAGGACAATGTGGGACATTTTATTTTGCATGTTCTACCACAAAGAATGGTAACTCGCAAGCTTAATTTCTCATTTTGCACACTAAGAAGTATGTAAAATAAGTGTGATAATTCATGCTAAATGTTATTCGCTGATTATTGTATAAAAATATGTGCCAATAGAATAATATTGGAACCTAATTGCAAGCAATGGAAGTGATAGTTAAATAGAAACAAGCATACTTTTGCAGCCTGGACATTGTTTAACATTTATTTTAAAAAGTCATTACCTTGGCTAAAGTGAAACGTAGCAAATAATTCTTTTGTAGATTCAGTAACAGGTAATATTTAATGTCATCTGTCCCCTCGTTTACTGTATTTCTGGGGTCATGGACTGAATAATATGGGAACAAAAGCTTACTTTAAGTTTCCATTGTTCCTTGGTAGAACAATAGAAACATTTTGAGTTTTGTTTTGCCATAACATAGAATATTCTAAACTTCCACAAGGACATTTTGAAGGGGACCATTTTTTTTCAATCTCAGAACAACCCATTTCCCCCTATTTTATGCATATCAGATTTGTTTTGGTTGGTTGAGATACAGAGCTCTTGCTTCATTCTGTAATACCAAAAGGGATATATTCAATGGTGCATCTTTTTTTAACAGTGAAAGCAAGTTGAATACATTGGTGCAGAAGCTTCATGACTTCTTGGCTCACTCATCAGAAGAATCGGAGGATGCAAATTCTCCTCCAAGATTATCTATGAGTAAAAATACAGGTAAAACTCACCATTGTAAAGCTGTTAAGAGTTGTAGTTTTTGAAATATGTATTTTCTGACATCACACAGAATTCTATAGCTAGGAAATACTGTTGCAGCATGACAGAGTTATTGCTGTCTTGTTTTAATAAATATAATAAATAAACTTATAACTGAAATAACTTTATAATATTTGGGAAAGAGGAAATGTTTTTGACTAATTTTATTGGTATTTCCATTGTCTCTTTGAATTTCATAATGTGCTGCATTGTTTTTCTGCCAATTTATTTTCAATTATTTTTGCTTATGTCAATTTCTTCTTTCTTTATTTACTTTCTTATTACTTTTATTTCTGTGCAGCAAAAATCAAAATTTTTGGCAGCTTATATAGAAAAATACAATCACATCAACTATGCAAACCCTGAAAATAGAAAGAACTCTGAAATAGTTCAGAAATTTATAAAAAACTAATAAAGCAGGAACTAGCTTGATCTCCACAGCATTAGCATCATGAAACAAATAGCTGCAGAGAATGTAGAATTGGAATTCTGGCACTTGAATAGATTTGGAGAACTATATGTATACTTCACACTCTGTAGCAATGATTTTTTTTATTAATATTACTACCCAGCTGTCAATCTCAACAACTTTGTTGATATGGATCAAAATATGGGTTACTTGCATGTGGGCGTTGGTTTCTCATACACTGCATATCCAGTGTATTTAATTTTCTTTTTAAAAATATAGCAGCTATTTTAAAACTCATATAATATCAAAAAAAAGGGTGGTACAGAAGGGTAAACATTTTTGTTTCATGCTAGCAAGAAATGTATTGACTCCTAGATAAGCCAAAAAGTTTGGATCATGTTGCAATAAAATGTAATCATGTTGGTTGTGCTTGGTGAGTTTCTTGCAGATATTTCATTACCAAACTAGGTAATACCATTAGTGCTAGAAGAGAGTGGGGTTATAGTCTTTATAGTCTTTACACTATGTGTTGTAGATCAGGGCTTTTCAACCGGTGGTACGTGTACCACTGGTGATAGTTTGGTATCTGGCAGGTGGTACATGACCGTCCTAGAGAAGTAGCGGGGTGGAGAGGAATGAGCTGAAGCGGTGAGAGCACCGCACAAGCCTGAGGGAGAGATAGCTGGAGCTGCAGGGCTATCGGGGCTCGGCAGAAGCACCAGGATCAGAGCCAGCTGATCGATGCTTCCAGAAGCTGGAGGTGTGCTGAAGAGAAGGGGGGGGAGAGGATATAAAAGGAGTTTTTGGCGGGAAAGGGCCAACAAGGGGCTGTCCCCGCCCTGCGCCCTGGGCGCGTGAAGAGGAGGCGATGAGTGCCTGGCATCCCTGCTGACCGCTGAGAAAGAGAAAAAGGTAAGTGAAGTGCTTCCTTTTCCCCCAGGACGCCAGCACTCGTGCACTCGCTGCCTTCTCCATGCACCCCCAGAGGGCAAGGCTGCCCTATGGATCTAAGGCTGAGTGTACTCTGGCTTTGATGGCCCCTACCAGTAGATCAACACCACGCCTGCTTGCTGACCTAGCCTTGCAGCCAGCAGGCTTCCCTTTCACTGGAACTGCCACAGCCTGCGTTGGATAGTGACGGCTGGCGGCAGCATGGCCACTGGCAGCACTGGCAATCTCTCCCCCTCCCATCATCTCTTCCTGAGCACGGAGGAAGGAAGGAAGGAAGGAAGGAAGGAAGGAAGGAAGGAAGGAAGGAAGGAAGGAAGGAAGGAGGGAGGGAGCTGGGAAAGGGACTGCCTTCTGACTACTTCTCAGGTTTATTTTTTTTAGCTGCCAGAGGCTTTGGGCAGGAGGTTTCCCATTTTGACCTCTCCCTCATCATTCCCTCTGTGCCTGAAGGGCCTCTGCATGGCTCTCAGCTCACCTGTCCCAGACCCATGCATGTGTGTGTATGTGTGTGTGTGCGCGCGCGCGCGCAAGTGCGGGCAGGCGGGGGTCTCCTTGCAGCCTCAGGCTGTGACATTGGGGAGGAAAAGAACGGGAGAGGTAAGAGAAGCTGCAATGGGAGCTTCTTGCAGCCTTTGATGGGGCTGGGGGTGGGAGCTGAGGGGGGGCAGAGCACGATGTGATCAGCAGCATATTGAGAAAAAGAAACAAGTACTCCCAAAAACAGCTTTCATTAGTTGCAGCCTGCCATCGCAGAAGGTCTCTGTTGAGGGCGTGGGGCTGTAAGGGGTGAGACCGCACACGTGCGCGCACATACATACACACACACACACACACACACACACACACACACACACACAGAAGTCTGGGTGAGATGAGCTGAGAGCCACGCAGAGGCAATGACGGGAGAGGGGTCAAAATGTAAAGCCTTTGCCCATTTTTGTGTTGATCTGCCTGCCTGTTGCCACCTCTGCCCAGAGCCTCTGGCAGTTTTTTTTTAAAAAGGGGAGGGAGGGAGAGGCAATTTGGTTGGAAGTTCAAAGGAGAAAGCAATTTTGTGTTCTGTTTTGTTACAGACAGAACTTTGTTGGCAATCCAAGTTAACATTGGTATTCTTGAATTGTGAGCTCTTAGCTTTCCTAACAGCCATTTCCAGTGGGGAAAATATTTTCCTTTGCTATATTTCCAGTCCGAATTAGACCAAGGCTATGTATTAGGATTATGTATTAATAGAAAAGCAAGTAAACTATCTCTGTTCCTAAACGCTAAAGCTGTTGCACATACAAAAACAGAGGAACGCTAAAGCTGTTGCACATAGAAAAACAGAGGAGCTCTGATCTATCACAGCCACCATTCTGACAGTTTTCCTGTACTGTTCTGTGTGTGGACGACCCCGCTAAATGGAAGCATGGGATAAACTGAGCCTGGTTTTTCTCAATCTTTTAAGTAGCCACAAACTAGTAGCAAAAGTGGCATTTGATCACAAGGCAAGGAGGCATCGAGAAATGTTTCCCCTTTTGCATTTGAGCATCCAAGAAGGGACAGGAAAGGAGAAAGGGGAAGAGGAAAGACAAAGAAAAAGAAGGAAAGAGGGGAAGAGAGCAAGGAAGGAAAAAGAAGGAAAGAGGAAAAGGAAGAAAAAAGAAAGGAGAATGAAGAGGGAAGAAAGGAAGGAAGGAGATTATAATGAGAGGAAGGGAGGCTCTGAGGGAAGTCCTGCCTTAGCACTTGGCACCAGCAGCCATGCTGCCCTTTTGCCATCCCCTTGTCCCCTCCTCCTGATCTCTTCTGGTGGTCTATTGCAAAGGATGCTTTGGTAACAAAGCCAGGTCTCCTTGCATGGAGAGGGAGTGTGCCTCCCTCTGACCCACGCACCCACTGCACCCACTATGAGCAACCTGGCCAAGGAGGTAAGCCAGGTGCCCCCTCAGGGAAGTGGGGCTGGTCTGGGTTGGGCTGCAGGGTCCTAGTGCTCTGGGAACTTGAGGGCCGGGCTGGGTGCTTGCCCTCCACTGCCCAGGGATTTGGGCAGCCCACACCATTGTCTGGGAGTCCCACGCGCAGCTCAAGAGGGACAGTGAGGCTCCTCTGATGGACTATGCCCCCCACAAGCATCCCCCAACCATTGGCTTCGCTTTTCAAAAGGTTGCAAAAGGGGATCACATGACCCTGGGACACTGTGACCATCAGAAATATGAATCAATTGCCAAGCATCTGAATGTAAATCACATGACCCTGGGGATGCTGCAATGGTCATAAGTGTGAAAAATGGTCATGTCACTTTTTTCAGTGCAAACTATTGTAAGTCGAGAACTGCCTGTACTTTTTATCATTTTATTCCTTTTTTTTTGGTCACCAAGTTTTTGACACCTTGCTAGGCGACTGGTGGTACTCAAATATTGCCTTATCCTAAAAGTGGTACAGTCGATGAAAAGGTTGAAAAGTCCTGTTGTAGATAACTCCTGTTTCTCCAGCAGTGGAGATGGAGAATCCACCGATGGGTTGAGACTGTATTCCAGCCCAGTCAGATCAGTCAGCAAAGTTGCCACGCCCGTCCCCGACCACGAGATCCCAGTCTTGACTGATCTCGCCCATGGGACAGACGTGCAAGCTTGGCTCTTAGGCCAGTACAGTCTACCATTGGTAGATTTCCCTTCCAGTAGTTTAGTTAATTGGATTATTTAATTTAAACTAGATCATTGCAAATTCTAAATTTCTTTCAAGTAAAAGCTAGAGATATCTAAATCCTTTCATCTGGGAGGTATCAGGCCTCATTGGGGACAGGGTTCCCATCCCCCTCCCCACATCTCCTCCCATTACCCCAAGAAGGGACCCTTTAACGAGCGGCTTGGACTAACGCTGTTAGTCCAGCCAAAATAATCGCATTCGGGAGTGGAGCTTGCGGCTGCAGCTCCGCTGAAGAGTTCGCTTGTAGGAAAGTCCCCAACTCAGCCAGCTGTTTGTGGGCCGCTCCGGACCCACAAAAAGAATTCGAAGAGGGGTGCTCTTCAGAGGAGTGTGGACCAACCAGCGGGGAGGTGTGTTCGCGCAAAACAACACACGGAACAGCGCGGACCAGCTGACAGGCGGCCACCGGGGAACCCTTCCTCCTCTAAACTTAGCTCCGCGGGCTCCGAGCGAGCAGCCTTCCCCACGCGGGCCGCCATTTTTGGAGTCGCTTGACGCATGCGCAACTCCTTTGTTCTTCGCATGTGGCTTGGACAGGCTAAGGACGCAACCACTGCGCATGCGCGGCCGTCTTTTCGCGCATGCGCGGCCTACATTCCCCGTGAGTCCCATATAATACAATAGGCCTCTCACACCACCGCGGGGAGAAGAGCCTGCAGCCAAAGCCCAGCAGGTGGCAGCAGAGGACAAAGCACCACATTTAAACTAGGCAGGCACAGACTCAAATCCAGTCTGCCGGTTACTTTATAGGGACTAGCCACTTAAGGCAGATCGAGGTCTAGCCTCAAATAAGGATAAATAAATAGGGATAATTAATTAATGTTGATTTAATAAGCAACTAGTAATTAGTGTGAAATAAATACAGGATAAATAAGCTGATTAACCATCTTGAACTACTAGTCATAGTATAGTCAAT